CTTGCAGTTCAAACGGCTTTGCAGTCTGGCGCATTAACCCACAGTGCCATACTAGGACTCCAGTGAAGCTTTTATATGTATATATAAATCAGCTGTTGTTGTTGTTATTAAGTGCTGTTAAGTTGTTTCTGACCCATAGCAACCCTTTATAGGGTGTCTGAGGAGCAGGTGGGGGGTTTAAACCACTGATCTTGCGATTCACCTGATCTTGCTGTCCAGTGCTACAGCGCCACACCAGTACTCCCAAATAAGCTTATACATGAATATATAAGTAGAGGTTAATATCAAGGCAATGGCTCACACAGTTGTAGAGGTACAAAAGTTCCAAGTCCCAAGTCCTTGGATCAGGCTGAAGGTTTCTAAGTCATATAGCTGCAGGGCAATGAGCCAAGATCGGCAGGTCAGAAGGCAGGCAGGCAGGTCTGGCAGATAAAATGGCAGGTTGCTGATGACTTCATCCCAACTGTACTGAAGAGAAGACAGTTAAAATTAAGTGGGGGACAGGGGAGATGAAAGGGCTGTGGAAAGACATAAAAGAACAGCCTCTAAAAATAATAGAATCTCAACAGCTATGCCTGATGAGCTTCTGTCTCAGCTGCTCTAAGATTCAGTGCTCCTCTGGCCATCACTGCCTTCTTTCTCAGACTATCTTTGTCTCAAAATGCTATTCCTTTCCTCCAGATTATACTGTAAACTTGAAATCGATCCAGCAGACAAACTGATGGAGAAGTTAATGGGGAAAGAAAAAGCCAAGATATCCGTACATCCTAGTTCTTGGAGTTGCACCAATACTTAGAGTTCACAAAAAGGTGGGGGGAGGCTCTTAGGACACAGCGTCCAGCCACAAAGCCCTAAATCTCTCCTTATTATGGTTCCTGCAGTCCATAGCCTAGACCCATTTTACTATATGGTGGTTACAGAACTAAGTTGGTGGGAAACGTTGGTAAATAGGTGTCCTAGGTATAAGCAGTTCCTGGTGTGGCACTGTAGGATAAGCACTTGACCGCAAGGTGGGTTTGAACCACAAGGTCAGCAGTTCAAACTCACCAGCTGCTCCTCGGAAATGCTATACAGGGCTGCTATAAATTGGAATCGACTTGATGGCACTTAACAACAATAGTTACCCATTAAATTCTTAAAAGTTTACCTCAAGACTAGGGCAGTTATGTGATGATAAATGTTTAGTAAAGGGAGAAGGAGAATTGTCCTGATGCTGTGAATACTTCCGTAGTGTCCAACTGCAATCTACCACAGTGATGTCACTGAATGAGAAGCTGGAAAGGGATATGCAGTGGCGTATATATATGAGAGTATTCCCACCAAATACAATGGGCATCAGTAGCCCCAGGTGCATAAATAACAAAATGTAGTAAAAATCAATTAAGAAGTGATAGCTTTTAATATCAGTTACCTTGTTCTTAATATAATTCAATTCTAAGCTTACAGAATTGAATTTTTCATAATGCCAGTATATAAGAATTGGTTAACAAAATTCCTGATATTTTAACCATTGGATCCTATGAGACTGTTAAACCAGTACAAGCACATCCCTGGGTTAGGGCCACTTTCCTTGTGAGAGGACCTCTTTTTTCATTTAACTTCTAACTTCATGACTCCATAACTGAAGAAAGTTCTGGCAATAGAACAACTTAATATACGCTCTCTTTAGTATGTTAAGACTCACAATATTTTACAGATGAAGAAAGAGAAGCCAGCAGAGATTAAAGAGTTTGTACAAGTGGTGGAGTAGGAATTTTAGCTCAGGTCTGACTCCAAAGCTAGAGATGGACCCTACCACTCCTACTTGAAAAAGTCTGCTGTCTTGTGGGTTAATGCGCCCGACTGCAAAGTCATTTGAACTGCAAGGTCGGCGGTTCAAGCTCACCAGCTGCTCCTCGGAAACCCTATACAGGGTCGCTATGGGTCAGAACTGACTCTATGGCACTTAACAAAAGCAATAACTATAGTAGAAATACCACAAGTGGATGTCGTTAACAACCAGAAATGTATTCTCTCACAAATCAGGAGGACAGAAGTCCAAATTCAGAGTGCCAGTTCTAGGAGAAGGCTTTCTCTCTGTGGGTTCTTGGAAAAGGTCTTTGTCTCTTTTCAGCATCTGTAAACCCAGCACTCCCTGGAGATCTCCATAGATCTTGGCATCACTCTTTCACTGGATCTATCACAGGGCAGGTTCAAAGGAAAACATTCTGATTCTTCTAGCTTGGTGGTAGTGACGGTGGTAATGGTGATGATTTATGTGCCGTGGATTCACTTAGGACTCATTGTGATCCTGTATAGAGTTTCCAAGGCTGTAAATCTTTATGAACAGAAAAAAGTAAAAATCATTCACTGCCCTCTCTGCCCAAGGAGGCAAGCTAAAATACTAATCAGGTTACTGAATGGGACCAATCTTCCTGGTCCCCGCCCCCACAAAAGAGGTATATAGCCTGGCCCCTCCCTGACTCTGACTCCATATAGGTCCGTGTTACCACAAATCGGGCTGTGAACCGCAAGGTCAGCAGTTAGAAACTACCAGCTGCTCCGAGGGAGAAAGAAGAGGCTTTCTGCTCTCGTAAAGATTTATAGCCTCGGAAACCCTGTTCAGGGTCGCTATGGGTCAAAACTGACTTGACGGCACATAACTACAACAACCATCCTGCATTCAGGGGTCAGAATCAGGAGAAATTAGCTCCTCTGAGTCAGCCAGTTTAATAAAATCTGAAACTCTGCTTCACCTCTCCGAGTGGCCTCGGTTTCTTGGACCACTAATCTAAAACTGCTGTAACACTTACAGGAACAGAAAGCCTTATCTTCCTCCCATGGAGTAGCTGCTAGTTTTGAACTGCTGACCTTGAGGTTAGCAGCCTGATATGTAACCACTACGCAATCAGAGATCCTTTTTTCTGCTTTCTTCTCTTTACTTTTATCTCTGTAAAATGAAAGGTATTGCAGGCCACGTTCCAGAGGAAGCTCTTTCAATTGATTGGCTGCTCATGACAGATCGCATCATGGAAGTGTTTACATTACATTAGCTCCCTTCATGGGGCATTACTACATTTTAACTGCTAAATCACAGAGAATCACGGCTCAGTCAAGCTGACACATATTTTATTTTTGTTATTAAGGGCCATCCAGTGGGTTCTGACTCATAGAGACCTTGTATAGGGTTTCCGAGGAATGGCTGGTGAATTTGAACTGTCGACCTTGTGATTCAAATTGACTTTGCAGTCTAGTGCTTATTCTACAGTGCCACACCAGGATTCCCACACATATTTTACGGAGACATAATTCAATTCATGACATCTGGCTTAGGGGACTTTTACTTTGCCTGGAGCCTTCATGGTCCTGTCTAACAAGCTGAATCCCTGGGTGGCACAATCGGTTAAGTGTTGGGTTACTAATAAGAAGGTTGGTGATTTAAACATACCCTGGAGGCACCTCAGAAAAAGCCTAGTGGTTACGAGAATCGGGCTGCTAACCTCAAAGTCAGCAGTTCGAAACTGCCAGCGGTTCTGTGGGAGAAAGATGAGGCTTTCTGCTTCCATAAAGATTTACAGCCTCGGAAACCCTATACAGGGTCGCTATGGGTCGGAACCGATTAGACAGCACTTAACAATAACAATAAACTTTCTTACTGAGGCAACTGTTTTGTTTTGTATTGAAACAATAGAGCTCCTTGAGAACTCAGAATCTCTAAAACCAACATAGCTCCCCTGGCCTTGAGGCAGATAGAGAAGAAACATACCGCACAGGTGGTGTTTACTGTATGGTATTGTTACTTGAACTCATACGGTCACACTGACCCTGTTATTGTTATCTAGTTTTCTTGTGAGCAAACTAATCCGCTATTTTTGCTTCTGTACTCCCTGCTTCAGCAAATTCCTTTAGATAAGCCCCTAGACCCCGAGCCAAGAACTTAGTATATATATATATATATATAAACTAGCAGCAATGCAGCAATTTTTCTATGGCACGGCAGACCTGGGAAAATTCATTATCTCCTGCCGTCCGGCTATTATAGCTGTCTGTTGTGCCAATAAAATTCTCTAAATTGGACATTATAGTGGTCATCATCCTTCTTTGGGACTCGAACCAGTAACAGTATAATAGCCCATGGAGATGGGGGTAAGGAGAACTCCAAGAGAGTGGTATGTTAATTGTATAAAAGCTCTTCGCACCTAAATGGTTCTCAGTAATCAGTCTGATGCAGGGGCTTGTGCGTGGCCTACAAGAACACTTTATTCATGCAACCATATTTTTCTGAGCTCCTACCCGCAAAAGGAACTTCTTTGTCTTTTGCGAGGGGCCGGGCTACTAGAGAAAAAGAAAGCATTTACTCTTGCCTGTTTAAGAGAAAGGTGACCTCTCCACTCAGCGCACAGGTTCAAGGGCAAGGGAACGTCTGGACTCGGGAAGCAACTCATTACCTGGCGGGCTCCCAATCAGTCCCGGGAGCACACTGCGTGCAGGTCTCGCTTCCCATGTCCCAGCATTATCCCGGAAGTGGTCCCGGGCGCCTGACGAGGGCGGAAAGTGTGTACACACACACACACACGTGTCATTCTGACTCATAACGACCTTATAGAGCCGAACAGAACTGCCCCATGGGTTTGTAAGGCTGTAAATCTTTACAGAAGCCGACAGCACATCGTTCTCATCTTTCTTTTTCGGGACGGTTGGTGGGTTGGAATTGCTAATCTTACGTTTAGCATCCGAACGTTTGAACCCCGGCGCCTCTTGGGCTCCTTAGGGAAGGACTACCGGAACTAAAAGGCGGAGCGCAGAAGTTAGACAAGGGCCGGAGGTGCCCTTTGGGGGCACAAGGCATACGTAGCCGCTGCGCTTGGCTCCGCCCCCCGCCTGACTCCACGCTAACGGAGTCTCCAGGGTTAAAAGCGGTAGGGTGGGTGAGTGAGTTTGCCTTTTCTACCGCGAGGCTAGAAGCCACCGCAAATCAGCCACAGATAGGGATTCCAGAGCGCCGCGCCGCCTTAGGAGCCATGCTGAGGAGCTGCGCCGTGCGCCTGCGCACACTCCGGGTCCTGCGCGACCCTCCGGGAGTGGCGCGCCCGTGGGTGAGTGACTGAGGCATACCCGGCGCGTCTGGGATGCGAGACTCCTGCCTGCGAGTGACGCGGCAAGAGGCGGTAGATCCCGGGGCGCGGGGAGCCGTTAGCTGGTAACAGGAGTGAACCTTGAACAATCAGAAACAAGCCTACAAATGTGTTTAATCCATTCATTCAACCGACTCGTCTCAATTAATTTCAGATGTCATCAATATTTTACAGGGTCTCTGGGCCTAATGGGTTCCAGCCTTCCGGTAGTAGCCCTTCGCTTAACCTATGCGCCGCGGGTTCCTTGTGTAAACTAGCAGGAAAAAGACCGCTACTACTACTGATTTTTAAAGTGCAAAGGTTAAGTGATTAAGAAAGATTACACAGAAATTGGACTCCTGGTGTGGATTAGCACTGGACTGCAAACCGCCAAGTCGGCAGTTCAAACTCACCAGCCACTCCTTGGAAACCCTATACAAGGCCGCAATGAGTCGGAACAACACCACCACGGAGAAATTAAGGCGCATTGGTAGTGTAGTGGGTTAGGAATTTGGCTACTAACTGCAAGGTCTATAGTTCAAATCTGCGAGCTGATCCGCGGGAGAAAAAAAGAGTCTGCTCCGGTAATGATTTACAGCCCTGGAAACCCTACAAAAGGCTCGCTATGAGTCGGAACCAACTCCACGGCACTTCACCACCACCAGCTGGAATCTGAACCAAGGCCATCCGGCTCCAGAGTACAGAGTAGAGATTCACAACTATTATACAAGAAGAGTACTACTTCTTCCAATGGCTCATCCTAATCGTCTGTAACTTGTATTTCTGAGAATGACGATGCCCACTGAACGTTAGGAGATGCTTGTCAGTTAATCATTCCCTACCTAAACCAGTTTTCTCACTATTAAATGTTAGTATGAGATTGAAATGAGATAGTGGCACATAGCTAACAATGGAGTGGGTGATTGATGGGACAGTGACCCTATGGGACAGGGTAACACTATCCCATGAGGTTTCCAAGGCTGTATGTCTTTACTGACCTTGACTACCACATCTTTCACCCAGAGAAGGCATGGTGCATTCCGATTGCCACTTAGCAGTTGAATTTCTTAATCACAGTGCCACAAGGCCCCTAATGGCACATCCAAAATCCAAAGCCACCTGACTCATAGCGATCCTATGTAGGGTTTCCGAGACTGTAAAACTTTACCGGAGCCGAGTATCTCATCTTTCTCCCACGTTGTGGTCTCTGGTAGCAACCAAACTCTTAGCCTACAGCACCCCCATGGTGCCTTTTGATCACACATTTGTTAAGTGCCAGCAAGTCAGTTGTGACTCATAGCAACCCTGTATAGGGTTTCCAAGGAGCAGCTGGTGAGTTTGAACTGCTGATCTTGTGGTTCACAGTAATACTTACCAGTCAAATGTTTATCCTACAGTGCCACACCAGGAATCCTAATGACACATAAACCTATTAATATTAAGTCGATTCTAACTCACAGCAACCATGTAAAAAGTTTGTCAGGCTGTAAAATCTTAATGTAAGCAGAAAGCCTCATCTTTCTCCCACTTACCGACGTTGTTGTTAAGTACCACGGAGTCCCTTCCAACTCATAGTGGCTCTATATAAGGTTTCTGAGGAATAATTGATGGGTTTGAACTAACCACCTTTCAGTTAGCAGTCCACTGCTCAATGAAAGTTCTGGTGTGCACAGTGCTGCTCCTTGGAAACCCTATACAGGGTCCCTGTGAGTTGGAGCCAACTCGGCGGCAATTAACACTAACAACATGCACTATGTGCTGTAATAAAGTACAAAGGGGGCATAGAAGAGGGAATAGCTGTGTTATAAGTTTGGTGCTCGATTAAAGGGTCCTGGTTTAGCACTGTAGGATAAGCACTATACTGGTTGTAACCTCAAGGTGGGTAATTCAAGCCAACCCACCAGCTGCTCTCGGAAACTCTATAGAGAGTCGCTATGCACCAGAACCAACTCGATGGCACACAACAAGAAGTTTCTCTATTAAACTATTATTGCTTTCTCTTAAAGATTAAGAAATATGAGTTATTCACTAATCTGGTACTATCTTGCACCTTGATAAATAAAATGTACTATACCAGTCTCACAACAAGAAGGATGAATGTTAATTCAATTATATGCTGGTACCCTGTATCTATGCTGAGAATATGTATGAGTATTTAAAGGCTTTACAAATCATGCTTCTTTTTTTTCAGTAACTTAACCTTAAAAGGAAGGCAATCTGGTAGCGTAATGAGGCTGCAAATCTCAAGGTCAGCAGTTTGAAACTACCAGCTGTTCCTCGGGAGAAAGATGAGGCTTTCTGCTCCCGTAAAGATTTATAACCTCGGAAACCCTGTACAGGGTCGCTATGAGTTGACTCCATGGCACATAACCACCACCACCAATCTTAAAAGGAGACATGTTTTTAAGATGTCATGACTTAACAGGTCCCACTTTATAAATGATAAATGATCAAGACCTTTCATCTATTTAGGGCAACAAAAGGTAATAATCATTTCCTAATATCCCTTATGTATACAGTCTATACTATGAATTTACAGATGTTTTTAAAATGGATTCCAAGTATTTCTCACCTTTCATTATTTTTATTTCCCACATCTTAGTGTGTATTTGGGGTCTCAAACGCAACATGTTCCGGTATATGCACACACACACACACCCTTTTTGTTTTCTTCTCTTCTCCTCCACCCAACACAATCCTCAAAGCCACAACTCTGGAATCATCCAAGACTCTTCTACTTTCTCTTCCCCGACAGTCACCCCCTACATCCCTTGATTCCAATATCCTAACTTCTTCTCAGTCCTCTGTACCTAGTTGAGGTCCTAACAAATCCCACCTGGACTTTTTTAAGTTTTTAATTGTGAATTGAGTGATAGTTTACATGGAAGACCATCTGCTTTACATTCATCCTATCGTATTTCATTTCATTGCAATGATTACAATGCCCTCCATGCATCACCGAACAACCAAAGGGTACACCCCGCTGCCTTCCCCCCTGCCGTCATCACACACACCCCTCTCCCTCCCTGAATCCAGAGTCCCCAGCCGCTCCATCTCTCCACATCATTGTCTCTGCCTCCATCTCTGGTGTCACTGCTTCTCTGGATAGGGTCCCGCACTCCGCTCTTCTCCTTTGATGGTCCCAGGGATCTCCGCTCCTAGACTGCAAAATCAACCATTCCCCTCCTTTTGTTACAAAACGTCTACCTTTACATTTCCAACATTCACAGTCAGTCCTGATAGCAATTATTCACTATTGAACTATAAGAGTCTTATCCCCACCTCCTTTCATCGGCCTTGTCCAACAGATTGGAAACTACTAAGTGGAGATGTTACCTTCCACCGCACCCTCTGAAACTAGGCTCCCTCTTAAAAACTTGTAAGCCAGTCACTTCTTGCCTTTGTAGCCCCCCTATTTTCGGTAATCAATGTCTAAATTGCCTATCCCTGCAACCCTGTGTACCGAGGGGTTGGGAATGATTCTCGCTGTGAAGATTCATTGCCTCTTTTGAGCTACTATATCCATAAGTATAGGTCAAATTCATCAAATTGTACTCATTTTTTGCCTCTTCTTTCTTACTCTAGTTGAGTCTGATCGTCCAGCCATTGAAGCCAGGTCAAGTGGGTACTATCTGCAAGTATGAGTGTTCTTGTGCACTTCATATCAGCTGGATGCTTCACTCTCCGCTCTAGTCCTCTGTGGCCATGTCTCTGTCTCTGGGCCCAGGAGTCGCCAGGTCTTGCCATACTGCTGGCCAACCAGGTCTCAGTCCAGGTTGACAGGAGTCTATTGAACGTGGTTGGGAGAAAGATGAATACAACTTCATTGCTGTTTTTCCCCTATTTCCCCTTATCAATAGACCAGTGTGGTCAACGGTCAGACCACATGCTTGCTGGTGTATTCTCAGTCTTAGAAGGGGGTTTGCCCTGAGGAGACCTGACTGCTTGCCCTGACGGCTCCTGGTGAACAACTTGCTTATTCTTGTGGTAGTGAATCAAACAGCCGTTATTGTTTTTTATTTTTCCTGCTGGTCTTTCGTTCAAGAAGTATCTTCTGTTCTTCTAGCTGCTCCAGGCTAGTCTGCTTGTTCTTTTAAGTGGAATTTTCCCACCTCAGAAGATTCTGGATGGGGATCAGGGTTCCACCTATGGTCTTATGCAACACAAAGGCTCTGCAGGAAGCCTCCTTCATTGGGCAAGTTCTAGCCTCATGTTAGGTATTCCAATCAGTTATAGGCTGAAGACAGACTTACAAGCTTTCTATGGTGATGTCTCTAGCCATTTCTTTCTCTCCCCCTCAAGTGTCTATTTTACAATAGTAGGCAAGGGAAACCAAGGTTCAAAAGTCAGCCAAACATCTTAACCTTATTTCCTCTCTTTTACCCATTCAAACTATGACTCAATCCCTGTTTCCCAGAGCCATGTTGTTCCAAGGTTGAGCATACATCATTATTTACCTCTGTCCCACTTAGACCATGCAAACCTGCCTAATTATTCTCCCATCCACCTTGTTCTTCCATTTCCCTCCCCCTTCTTGTGTATTGCCCCTGCACCCAGGGCCCAAACTATCCTGTGTCTGTTCCCTACCCTGTGTTCCACCTTCCCCTCACTCCACCCTACGCACCCCGGTAACCAGCAAAGAATTTTCCCCCCTTTTAGTGTGAGTGCTTTTTCTTAAGCTTTTACAATAATGGTCCTGTGCAGTATTTCTCCTTCTGTGACTGACTAATTTCACTCAGCATAATGTCCTCAAGGTTCAACTGTATTATGCCATGGCTTGCAGCTTCCTTGTTATTCTTCAAGGTAGCATAATATTCCATTGTGTGTATGTACCAAAATTTGTTTTATCTATTCTTATGTTGATGGGCACTTAGGCTGTCTCCATCTTTTTGCTATTGTAAATAGTGTTGCTTTGAACATTGGTGTGCGTATATCTACTCGTGTTATGGCTCTTATTTCTTGTGGATAAATACCAAGTAGAG